AAAAAAAAAAAAAAAAATTTCTAAGTCCTTAAAACAATTTAGACTGCATGGGTTCCATTTGAAACACCCATTCACTTGATATATTTGATGCAACATTGATCTATAGGTAAAACAGTGCATTTCTTTATAAAAGTTGTAGTAACATTGGTTGAATAATTCAAGTTAGTATTTTATTTTCATTAAAATATATCTGCATAGTAGAGTTGAAGATTTTATTCAATCTAATGTTAAAAAAATATATATCTCCTAGGTATAGGAAGAGTATTTGATTATGCATTTAAATATTCAAATATTTTTTCAGAAGTTTGGACCAATGATGTATTTCTGCTTTCTTCTGTAGGTTGCTTATGTGACTTATTTTGACTTATTTAAAATACCATTTACTAAATTGAAGTGAGTCTAGAATTCAGATTTTAGGTGTAGGGAAACATCTCTGAAATTGTTGAACTTTTTATTGAATACATTTTTCTATAGTTGAGCTAAGATGGACTATTATTTGCTGTAGTGTTGCTTTTTGATCCCTTACTGGCTATAAACTCAGATGTGTAGATTCTCCTGGGAGTAGCTTTTACTGTGTACTGTATCAAATAGACTATACCACATACAGAAACCACTGTGTGCATGCTTTCTCGATGTCAGTGTGTTTTGGTATTAAGCATAGTCTTCTGCTGTTAAGTTTGCTAAAGGCTTGCTTGCTGACTTATTTTTTGTTTTGTTTTGTTCTTTTCTTATTTCAGAGAATCTTTTCCAAATGATCTTCAGTTCAATATTCTAATGAGATTTACAGTTGACCAGACCCAAACGCCAAGCCTAAAGGTAAAAATTTGAAGTCTTTTGAAAACTTTGTAAGGAATTGAAGTATTTTATTATTCTAGTTACGTTGCTATTTGTGTTTCTGCCGCACGAGAAGCTGTTCAATCAGTGGCTTTTGTTTTTATGAACTTTCAGACGTTCAAGCCAGCACTTCGGGACCAGCTTCACTCTTTTTGGAGCTCCAAGGTTTTGTGGTTTTACTTTCATCTGCATTCTTTCTTTTCTTAACTCTCTTTACAAACTCTGCAGTGTTTCAGATAACGTTTGTATGCATCTATATTCAACTACTAACATTTGTCAGCCTCTTAAGCATGCAGATATTTGATTTCAAATGTTATTCAAATGGCAGACTATCCTTCGGAGAGGCTTACTGGGGATACACATTTAGAAGGCATTGCAAGTATGGCTGCCTAACCCTAAGCTGGTAATGCAGACTTGCTCTATAAAGTCTTATCTGATTTTATGTTTGTGATTTCCCAGTAGCTTTTTAATTTTAGGAATTTTAATAGTTACTTTGGGCCCAATGTCAGTTCTGCCTATGTATTTATTTTATTAAGGAAAATTTTTAAGTTTAATCTTGGTTCTGTTCTCCACTTTTCCTTAACTGAAATATGAAATAGTAACCGTTTTTGCAGTGGGATATTTGCGATGTGTGCATAAAGTTTTGAATGAGGATTAACTTTCTCAGTCGTTTTTTGCGCACACTTTCCAGTTAATTTATGATTAAAAATAATTATAAACTTAAGATATAAGAAAAAAACGATTTAAGATAAAAGATGAGCCCCTGAATTCTTTACTAATGAATTCATGTAAATCATATTCAAGATATTTCTTAGTGAGTTTTCAGTGAGATTAAAGTCAGGGAAATAACAAGCATGCGTGCGTATACAAGCCTTATATTTTTCCGCTCTATTCTGCACGAAATATATTTGCACAAGCATTACTCCCCAGGATTGATTTTCCCTTCGTGTCTAAATATGATTGTGCCTCAAAATTATGATTATGTTTCTTAACCAGGGTTCACTTACATTCGGCTTGTTATTATCACAGAACTGCTTTCTGAAAGGGATTCCATCTGTTTGGATTTTGAAAAGTGACTTACAGAAGAAGAATTTACTTGATATTGTCAATAAATATTTCTTGAGCTCAGTTTACGTCCAAGGCATTGTGCTAGGCATTCGTGGGAATACAAAACTCATTGCGAATCATTATCGTCTGTGATATCTGATAAATTGTAAACTATTGTAAGAGTTATGATGTTGGTACTGTCAAGCACTGCTGAAAATGTATGGAGAGATGTTTTCGTGAACCAGTGGAAATGGAAGTCGAAACCAACTTAGAACTCGGGGTGCTGGGCGAGTTGAGGGAGAGAATGAAGTAGCTGAGGGCCTGAGAGAAAGACAATCAAAGGGAAGAGTAAAATGGGAGACAGGCAAATTAACATGTGCTTTCCTTTTGGAAAACATTATAGGGGAGGCTGGAATCACAGATTATTTCTCTAAAATCCTAAAACAAATACACACAAACACACATATACGTAGGCACACACGTGTATACACACATATAAACACACACATTTATATACTAGCAAATTTGCAGGGGAAAATTACTCTTCAGTTGATATTTTAGAAAAGTAGAGAGGACGTTGACTTGGAGCGATACCTTAGGCCAAAAGTAAAAGTAAATTTCAGGTGGGTGACAGTATTAAGTGTTAAAAACTTAACATGTTACAGAAAAGCACAAATAACTTGTGTATGAGATCTGGAAAAGTTATTAAAAAGTGACAGATCTTTCAGATAAAAGATAGATGTTTGTATAAAATTTTAAATCTCTCGAAGAGTATCATGTGATTAAAGTCAGAAAAGAAGCAATGGACTAGAGGGACATGGCAGTACCAAGGACTTTATTTGAATTAATCATATTTTAAAAGTAAGGAATAAAGTTTTTGTTGACCCCTTTTTCTGGGTTTCATAATTATGTTGAAAAATTACACAACTTACAACAAGTGTATTCTTTTTTCCGTCTGTGACCAAGAGTGCATGTTTACCTTATTAAATTTATAGGTATGTTTAACCTTGTATAATACCCTGCTAAAATAGAAACTTTCAAATGATTCTATGTATATTGGGGTCATTTTGCCTGTGGGTATAGTAAACACACCTGTTCTCTGAAACCCCTTCAGAAGTTTTCAGGCTTGTCTGTATTTCCAAGACTCTGCACTATTGAATCTAACATATATTCTGTTACTGATTGTGACAAATGAAAAACAAAATACACTGATGTTCGTTTTGGATTTAATATAGCCTCCTTTCAGCTATTCCCACTTATAAAAGGCGACATGGCTTCAAGAATTCAGAATATTATGTGCTGCATAATTTAATTGGACCTGCTGCTACAAAGCTAACTTGAAGTCTCTTTCCCTGTTCCCTGCTCATCTCACCTGGGATGACTGATAGGTTAACTCTTGGTTTTTTCAGTACATTTTTTAAAAATTATAATTACTTCTTAAAATGTCTCCATTATGAAATGAAGAATGTAATGTAATCCATTCTGTCTTTTTTGTGGGGAGGGGATGTTAAACTGGAATTAAGAGGCGAAAAACGTAGAAGACTTGGGACCTTATTTTAATGTTTTACTTCCTGCGTATTAACTTGGCGTGACATTTCTTTATTTAGAATACGTGAGAAAAATAACCTCAAGATCAATAATAAAGGAAAAAAGAACGTAGGAAAACTGGTTACCTTAATCTTCCGCAGTATTTTTTCAAGTTGCTGTCTTAATCATCGTTCTAAGTTAGCAAATCACTTAGTATGTGCTTAACGTCGTCTGCATGCAAGGATTGTACACTATGCCAGGTGTCACTTCTAAAGAGAAGAGGTAAAATCTAAAAGAACTGTTATTTAGAAATCCTAGAATGTTGGAAGATGTAACTGTAAAACAGTGGTTCCAACCTTTTTTTTCTGCCCCAGAATACCTGAGAGAAGGAAGGGAATTTGACAGTGGCTTACTATAAGGATGAAGAGGATGAGTATAAGGAAGAAGCATGTGTGCTTTGAAAATAGTCCCACCCCATGCTGATTTTGAAGCCTGCTTGCCACCATCACTACTACCCCACCATATGCACATATCAGGAATTCCTGGGAGAGTAATGAGACTTTTTAAACCCACACACCATAACTTTTATTCAAATAAGTATTATCTTTTCTTCAGTGCTGCTTGTTTAAAACATTTTTATGACACTTCTTTTGGAAGGCAGTTATAACAGTTGATAGACTTTTAAAGGAAACTGATCTCATTGTATGACTCTAGCCCACGTTTGACCAAAACAAAACCTCTGTTGCCCACCTTGATGACCCACTTGATTTACGTACCTTATTTCCAAAATACTTTGATTTGTCTCCTCAAAAGCCAAATTCATTTAGTTGATAAAGACTGGCTCCCACTGAAGCTAAACAAAAGAGTCAGCTGTAAGCTCTGAAGACAGACTCGAGGAGAAGTTAATAATCTTGTCAGAAGGGTAAGTCTTCAGCAGTTGTTCAGACTCATGGAACGAAACGCCCGGGACTTCAAAGTTCTGATATGTTTGAAAAACAAAAATCATCCACATTATTATATACTTGCACCTTGGGTAGGTAGGTAGTTGTATAATTTTTGTTGTTGATGGTGATGTCTTTTCACGTTCATTTTCCAAAAAATAATCACCTAATTCTCCAGTGTTCCACACTGACCATTTGACTGTCCTCTCTCATTGTGCTTACCTCTGCAGGTAAAGGTTGCTATCCTTAAATACATAGAAACTCTGGCCAAACAGATGGACCCAGGAGATTTTGTAAATTCCAGCGAAACTCGCCTGGCAGTGTCTCGGGTCATTACTTGGACAACAGAACCCAAAAGTTCTGATGTTCGGAAGGTAGGTTTTAATATAAGGTTTAGAAGATTAATTGGAAAAGCAAGTAAGTCATTTTGGATTGTCAGTAAAGGAAGCTAATATTTTCAGGACATTACCTGTTAGCAATGAGTTATTAACCCAGTGATATGAAGAATACAATCTGGGTTTTTTTCCTGTTCTTCATTTGTTGTTTTTGTTAGGCGCCATCAATTTCTGGCTTATTAATTTTAGGCATTATTTATTGATCTATTAATAATTTTAGGTCTTATGTATCTGTCTATCTATCAGTCTGTCTGTCTTGGTAAATGAAGACTTAGTTTTCCCATATCACCTCCCCATTCTTTCCTATATCCCTCCCTATGACCTTCAAGATAGTTATGAATCAATTGTTGGTAGTCGGTAAAAAGGATTTACATTTTGACTGTGCAGGTATTCACTCCTAGCCCAAATGTTTACTACTACCTCCTACCTTATAAAAACTTTGTTTGTTCTGAAGTTAATAATTTATCTTGCTTTCTATTTGTCTGGTTTTCTTATATTTTTAAAGTATCTTTTGGTATTTTCATTATTTCCGCAATATGCTTATGATTAATATTTTCTATATGTTTAAAAACATGGGTTATTTATTTATTTATTCATTCATTTTCTAAAGCCCCCTCCTAGACCCTCTGCTGTCCTCTCCAGTTTGGACACGGTTTTCCCTAGGCCTGCTGCACAGCATCTTCCTGGAACTTCTCTTCACCATCATCTTGAGACTTCTTGTCATCCCCTAATCTGTCGTTTCTTAAATTCTCTATATAATTCTGTTTACTCTCTTCTTTGATGAATCATTTACTTCAATAATTTGCTGCAGAGGAGTACATGGAATATAAATTTTGACACTTTTTTTTTCAATGATGAACACTCCACCCAAAAATAGCAGATACACATTTTTCTCAAGTGCACATGGAACAAGTCTCCAGGATAGACCCTATAGTAGGCCATAAAACAAACTTCAGTAGTTTAAAAGGATGGAAATAATACAAAGTATGTTCTCGACCACAATGGAATGAAATTAGAAATCAGTAACAGAAAGAAATTTGGGAAACTCACAATGTAGAAAATAGACAACATGCTCTTAAATAACCTATGGGTCAAAGAAGAAATCGCAAGGGAAATTAGAAAAATACTTCGAGATGAATACAAATAAAGACACAACGTACCAAAACTTATGAGAGATGCAGCTAAAGTACTGCTTAGTGGCAAATCTATAGCTGTAAATGCCTATATTAAAAAAGAAGAAATAAATCAATAGCCTAACCCTCAATTTAAGATGCTAGACAAAAAGAGCAGACTGAATCTAAAGCAAACAAAAGGAAAGAAATGATAAAGATAGAGCAGAAATTAATGAAATAGACTATAAAAACAATAAAGATTATCAATGAAACCAAACGCTGGTTCTTTGAAAAGATCAACAAAATTGACAAACCTTAATCTAGATTGACCAAGCATGAAAACATAGGACTAAAATTACTAGAATCAAAAATGAAGGAGAGGATTTTAATACCAAACATGCAGAAATAAAAAGGATTGTAAAGGAATGCTGTCACTGATGGACTTCAGTCCATCATTATTTGATGGACTCAGACATGCTGACAATCATGAGGATAACAGAGGACCAGGCAGCATTTTATGCTGTTGTACGTAAGGTCTCCGTGACTCAGAGTTGACTTGATGGCAGCTAACAACAGTTAATGTGAATAATTACATACCAGTAAATTAAGTAACTTAGATGAAATGGACCAATTCCTAGAATGACACAAACTGCTGAAACTGACTCAAGGAGAAATAGACAATCTGAACAGACCTACAAGTAAAGACATTGAATTAGTAATCAAAAAACTACCTACACACACGCATACACACACACACACACAAAAAGCTCAGGCCTGGAGGGCTTCACTGGTAAATTCTTCTAAACATTTAAAGAAGAATTAATACCAATTCTTCACAAACTCTTCCAAAAAATAGAAGAGAAGGGAACAATTCTAACTCCTTCTGTGAGGCTAGTACTACCCCGATACCGAAACCAGACAAAGTCATCATGAGAAAAGAAAACTACAGACCAATATCTTTCGTGAATATGGATGCAAAAATCCTCAGCAAAATACTAGCAATCCAGATCCAGGAATACATAAAACGAATTATACACGATGAACAAGTGGGATTTATCCCAGAAATGCAAGGGTAGTTTAACATCTGAAAATTTATGAATGTAATATATCAATAGTATAAGAAACAAAAATTACACAGTCACCTCAGTAGACACAGAAAAGGCATTTGACAAAATTCAATACCCTTCCATGATAAAAGCACTCAGCAAACTAGAGTAGAAGGGAACTTCCTCAATCCGATGAAGGGCACCTACAATAAGTCCACAGCTAACATTATACTTAACATTGAAAGACTGGATGCTTTCCTCCTAAGATCAGTAATAAGACAAGGATGTCCACTCTTTGTTTCCAGCATTTTACTGGAGGTTCTAGCCAGAGCCGTTAGGGAAGAAGAAGAAATAAGAGGCATCCAGATTAGAAAGAAAAGGTAAAGCTATCTTTATTCACAGATGACATAATCATGTGTATAGAACATCCTAAAGAATCCACTTAAAAACTATTAGAACTAATAATCAATTTCAGCAAGGTTTCAGGAAATAAGATTAATGTACAAAAATCAGTTGTATTTCTTACAACAGGGAATCAGAAGAGTCAATCAGTGGATGACAACAACATCAAGACAATGAAAGAGGGAATAAACGGCATAGGTGTAGAACCTTCTAATGGAGAGGAAGGCAAGGCTATACCAAGTAAGGGTAGACTGCTTCAAACTTATAAAGATAAGGGTAAAATTCATGGT